CGAGAGGAGAATGGAAGAGAAGGGATTTGTGTCATGGCCATCCTCCCTAGGGATGGATTTCTTGCTGTCTCTCTGGTGAACACACATGCCCTGGCTTCAAATGTCCTAGATAGGTAATAGAAAAGAAGTAATAAGATAATAATTGTGCTAGATAGTAAGGTTACCTGCTTTATTCTTCTGATGAGAAGATGAAAAATAGAGGTAGAACTTTTAAGAAAGAAATTTTGTAGCTGAATTGGAAAAGAAAGTTACAAGAAAATGGAAAAAGAAGGGAGCAAAATTCTTGATATGAAGAAAAAGGTCTTGCTTTCGATAGCTTTAAAAAGCAGCAAGAGTAGTTTGTGGGGTAAGGGTCCATCACTGATACTTAGGGTGACCCTTGTGTACTGAAAACCTAGGATCAGTTACCACGCGTGCCCTGTAAGCAGCACTACTCGTTACTGGTCTGTAAAACCCAACTGATAAGCAGAAGCAAAATATTCATCTAAAGGCAGTGTTGCCATTTTTAGAAATGAGGCCTCAAAAAGATGAAGTCATATCTTGCCTAATTCAGTGCTTTCTTTATACTGCAAAGTTAATATTAGTTGGTCTTTAGGTTGCTTAGTAATATTGTTTAAAACTGACATTTTTAAGGAGTCTGGTTTTTATATATTATAGTTTTTACATATTCCAGCAAACTTTCTGGTATGCATTTTAGAGATCCATGAAAAACATACGACAGTCTAGAAAATTAGTGAGGTAGACCAAACCAGTGTGGAACTCCCCAAACTCCTGTACTCCAAGTACCTTGGCAAGACTGGGAGCCACATGGCCCGCTGTGGGCTTGAATCTCTGGGTCAACCTGAAAACTTGCTGAGTGTGTGCTTGATGCCCAGGATCCTGAGGAGCTGGTGTGCTGGGGACAGGGGTTGTGGTATGGCAAAACCCTACTGGGGGTGCTTCTCTCTCTCACACATGCACGTGTGTGTGCTCTCTACCATCAAAAATGTGTGTGTGTGTGTACACATAGAAAAAACAAAAAGCGGAAGGATATTCCTTCAGAAAGACAATGTTGTCTACAGATATGGCCGTCCCACGGAGCAACTGCATGTTCTTAGCAGAGCATGCGCACCAGTAGCCTTCTCCTCTCTGGGCCTGGATGTTTGAAACAACTCTTGCTCTTGAGTTCCCCAAGCTGTGGCAGCGTTAGGGCGTGCTGTATACACAGTGGGCTCCTACAGAGAACACAGGAACCCCAGAAGCAGCATTCCAGGGTGTTAGCATTTCTGCAAATTGGAATGCTCAGGTCATTAGGTCTTCTGTTAACTGGAAAAGTGGAAAACTACAGAAAGTAGTCAACCTGATACATCTCATTCTCAAAAACTCTAAAAAGCTTTATTGATTTCCAACCTTTGTGTAGTATAACCACCTATAATTCTTTTTCTCTTTTCTTTTTCCATTTTCTTGTAACTTTCTTTTCCAATTCAGCTATAAAATTTCTTTCTTAAAAGTTCTACCTCTATTTTTCATCTTCTCATCAGAAGAATAAAGCAGGTAACCTTACTATCTAGCACAATTATTATCTTATTACTTATTATCTTTTTTTTGGGGGGGGGAGGGGATTTTGCTATAGGGCATGTGTGTTCACCAGAGAGACAGCAAGAAATCCATCCCTAGGGAGGATGGCCATGACACAAATCCCTTCTCTTCCATTCTCCTCTCGGGATTTTGAGCACACATGACCGGCATGAGTTTTAAGCTCCTGGGTCTAGGACTCAAACTGTGGGTGGTCATGTGGGAGTCCAGCGATATAACCATTACACCATTTGCTCCTGCCCATGTCTTCTTAATGGAACATACCCAAGTTAACCATCTCTGGATCAGTTAGGCTATAATATCATGACCCCTCCAGAGCAGAGAATTCAGGTTCAAAGAGAAGGCTCTGAAATGACCAAGAAATAGTGTGGCTGTCCGGAAGCTTTTTCTCTTGCTCAATTCCTGATTCTCAGCTGGCCATTCCCTGGTCCAGGGCTAGATCCTACCTGCTTATTCCCCAGAGCAATGTCTTTCATGTTCACAGTGAAAAAACATGTTTCCTGGGCCAGCTGGCGGCATGGTGGTTTAACAGCTGGATTCCATAGGGCTGACTATGAAGTTCAAGTTTCAGACCTGGCAGTTTAAAAAACGGGTGTGCGTGCATGCCCAAAATTCCAAGAGGAGAATGGAGAAGGGGCTGTGGTGTGGTTATCCACCTCCCTGGGTGGTGCTTTCTCATCTCCCCGAATGCATGAGCCCCACAACAAATTGAATTGTTTTTCCTTTTACTAATGAAATGAGTGAGGGAGTGAGTAATGGAGCCGGCCAGCTGGCCGAGCTGAGGAGGGTAAAAGACGCCCCATGTGAATAACATAACATGGGAAAGAACCTAAAATGGCTTGATGATTCCACTATTTAATGGCTTTGGTTGGTGACTTGCCTCCCTAGAGATCTTGAAAAATAGTAACGAGCTGTTCTCCAGTGTAACTGCCACTTTGCTGACGTCAGAGACATAAACTAAAACCCTTTAAATTCCTGGATTCTTGTGGAAGCCTCGAAAAAGCTTTATTGATTTCCAACCTTTGTGTAGTATAACCACCTATAATTCTTTTTCTCTTTTCTTTTTCCATTTTCTTGTAACTTTCTTTTCCAATTCAGCTATAAAATTTCTTTCTTAAAAGTTCTACCTCTATTTTTCATCTTCTCATCAGAAGAATAAAGCAGGTAACCTTACTATCTAGCACAATTATTATCTTATTACTTATTATCTTTTTTTTGGGGGGGGGAGGGGATTTTGCTATAGGGCATGTGTGTTCACCAGAGAGACAGCAAGAAATCCATCCCTAGGGAGGATGGCCATGACACAAATCCCTTCTCTTCCATTCTCCTCTCGGGATTTTGAGCACACATGACCGGCATGAGTTTTAAGCTCCTGGGTCTAGGACTCAAACTGTGGGTGGTCATGTGGGAGTCCAGCGATATAACCATTACACCATTTGCTCCTGCCCATGTCTTCTTAATGGAACATACCCAAGTTAACCATCTCTGGATCAGTTAGGCTATAATATCATGACCCCTCCAGAGCAGAGAATTCAGGTTCAAAGAGAAGGCTCTGAAATGACCAAGAAATAGTGTGGCTGTCCGGAAGCTTTTTCTCTTTTGCTCAATTCCTGATTCTCAGCTGGCCATTCCCTGGTCCAGGGCTAGATCCTACCTGCTTATTCCCCAGAGCAATGTCTTTCATGTTCACAGTGAAAAAACATGTTTCCTGGGCCAGCTGGCGGCATGGTGGTTTAACAGCTGGATTCCATAGGGCTGACTATGAAGTTCAAGTTTCAGACCTGGCAGTTTAAAAAACGGGTGTGCGTGCATGCCCAAAATTCCAAGAGGAGAATGGAGAAGGGGCTGTGGTGTGGTTATCCACCTCCCTGGGTGGTGCTTTCTCATCTCCCCGAATGCATGAGCCCCACAACAAATTGAATTGTTTTTCCTTTTACTAATGAAATGAGTGAGGGAGTGAGTAATGGAGCCGGCCAGCTGGCCGAGCTGAGGAGGGTAAAAGACGCCCCATGTGAATAACATAACATGGGAAAGAACCTAAAATGGCTTGATGATTCCACTATTTAATGGCTTTGGTTGGTGACTTGCCTCCCTAGAGATCTTGAAAAATAGTAACGAGCTGTTCTCCAGTGTAACTGCCACTTTGCTGACGTCAGAGACATAAACTAAAACCCTTTAAATTCCTGGATTCTTGTGGAAGCCTCGTAACTTTCTATTTCTACAGCACAAGGGGAGAGGATTTATCACCTCCATCATCCTCTACCTCAAGACAATTACGCAGAAGCAGTTAATGTTTACTTGCCATCCACCCACCCACCCCACCCACCCCCCGCTCTTCAAAGAGCCTGAGCATATCCTTCATCAGTAGGGCTCCCCATCGAACTACAGCTCACAGGAGATGGCTTTGGGGTCATCATCTCAATTCGCCCAAGGACGCCCCACACCAGCGCCAGGCTGGATGCTGGGTGAGAAGCTTGATACTGACAAAGGACACAAAGTGCGGGGTCTTTCACAGAACCCCCTTTTCTATTTCTGGGTTGGGAATTAGCAACGCAGAAGCAGAAACATTAAGGTGGTATTTGTAAGGCAGTGGCCAGAGTCAGAATCCAAGTAGCCCAAAGCGTGGAAAGAAACACAGGTTTATAAACTTATAAATGTTTTTATTTCAACAACATAGTAACACATTGGCCTCAAATTTTATTAAGGTTTTGGTCTTTTCGTACTTGTAACAGTAATATGAACTCACATCATCTCATTGTCAATAGCATTCCTAATGTACAGTCCCTTGAGTTTATAGTTTACAATGATTTTTTAATTTAACTTTACAATTTTTAAAATGTTTCTTTATATAGAAAAAATATATATTACCTTCAGGCAGATCAAAACAAGAATTTTTCAATAAGAATATACTAAGAAACAACCAATTAAAACATTTATACCAAGATACCAAAAGTGACTCAACTCTTTAAAATATCCTATTATAATTGAATTCGTAGTTTGCACAGAATAAGTAACCTTAATATTACTCTTCTGAATAATGATTACACATTCAAACAGAGGAAGTAATTTTAAGGTTATTTATTTTTAAAGACAGGATCTCACTGTTGTGCTCCTCCTGTCTCAATCTCCTGAGTTGCTGGGATTACAGTTGCACACCTGGCCTGTAGGTTGGATTGGGAATCAAACTCAGGCCTCCAATGTAGCCCCACCTTGCAGAACAAGCATCTTAGCAGTGCATACCACCATGGCTAGGCCAAAAAAAATTTTTTTAAGTAACTGCTCCAGCCCAAGTACTGCCACAGGATTTGTCACTTCAACATATCACTTCCAGAAAATGAAAACAAAATTTTTTTTGCATATAATGAATTCAGTACCTCATCAACATGGAGTCAAAACCTCCTACAAAGTTACCTTGGGTGTCATCAACCGTGAAGTCTAAAAGTATTGGTGTGAACTAGAATACTTAAATGAGGTAAAGGCAGACAAGACCACCCTAGTGCCTTCCAACTTCTTATCCTTAAAATGATGAACTACTGTCCTAAGGTGCAAATCTTACCACTCAGTGACCTATATGCTATTTGGCTGTTTATCTCCTTAAATAAAATACCGTTCAGGTTATAATGAACATAACAAATCAAATATTAAAATATATTTATATGACTGAGACATACTAGTTTAAATATCAATTATACTTACAATACGGAAATGTAGGAATGCTTATTCGGTCATAGCAAGCAGCTGCTGATATATCTGGATGAGAACATCCACATTCATAGCAGTTTAAGGCAAATGGCAAATATATTCTACTGCAAGCTGGAATATGACAACTCCATGATGGTGTGATGCTGTGGGAATGGTCTCAATGACAACTGACACTGGGGACAGAAGTGTCTGTCTTTCTAATCTGTGATAACTTCCACGATGAAAATAAATCTAGAAGTAACGGGCTGTAACTTATGGTAGTAGTAGACAGCTTGGGAACTCATTGGCACACTGTCAATTTAGAACATTTTATGGACATCGTCAGGGGGGTAAAAGACAAGCGGTCTTACCGTCAGACTTCCGTGCCGGTCCTCGCTGTCCCTACACCCTGCCTCGCATCTGGCCTGCCCCTACCCTGGAGGCAGACGCCTCCATTCAAGACAGGGTGCAGTCTTCTTTGCCTTTGCTCCCCTCCAGGGATTCTCTGTCATCTTCTCTGCTCTCTGCACCGGTGTCCGCCAGCTCTCCTGCTGGGGCTGGCATGTCATCATCGTCATCTTCTAGACTAATGCTATCTGACACTTCCTTGACAGACTGACCTGCATGTTGGGCTGGCACCTGCCCCTCTGTACCTCCTGCTTGAGTGGCATCATGGATGTCCTCTGGGGGACTTTTATTTTCAAGCAGGGTGCTGCTACACACCTCTTGGCTCTCTGGTTCAGGAGGATGGCTTTGGGCAGTGCCATCCTTTTTGGCATTATCTTTTGCAAAACCTTGATCTAACTCTATATTGTCAGCATCAGTGCCTGATGACTCAACTGTGTCATCTTCAGAATTTAACATGCCTCCGTCGGCTATTACTCCCCCTGCCTTTGCTTTGATACCATCTCGGCTAAGTTTTTCATCCAGATCAGTTTGTGGGTGTTCCAGACAATCAGCATCGGCACTGCTTCCTGCTGCCATCTTCTGTTTTGGACTTTCAGTCACCTCGATTTGGGCTTCCACGACGGGTTTCTGGTCTATAAACTGGACCTGCTCTTCTTTACCTTCACTTAAATCTGAGTTCTGATAAGTTAACTCTTTCTTAACATCTTCAAGGGGTTCTGCAGGTGCAAGTGGCTTCTTCTTCTTGTTTTTCTTTCTCTTGTTCTTTGCCTTCCTCTGTGCTGAATCTGGTGCCTCTCGCTGTTGGTCATTCTTTAATCCAGCGAGTTCTTTCCCACCTGAGGACTCACTTTCAGGCTCTCCCACACTCGGGCCTGCTGCTCCCTGATCAGCATTCCTGGCTGCTGGAGAGCCAGGAACGGGTTGGGCTTCCGTCTTGGCTGGTTTCTCATCTCTTGATTCTGTTTCTCGGTCCTCTTCGCTGTTCTCCCTGCCAGCCTCAGTGCTCTGAACGGGAGCCTCCTGGGACTCAGCTACTTCCTGGTTGGCAAGCTCTTTCTCTGAACCATGCCCTGAGCTTGGCTCCAACCCTTTGGGTGCACCTACCACACAATTTTCATCATCACTCACTGTGTCATCACTATTCAGAGGACCTGGGGTCACTGCGCCCACTTGCTCCCCAAATTTATTTGCCCCTGGCACTATCGCATTCTCCGGGTGCCCCCTCAGTCCCTCCACGTCTGCACTGCTCACCCTTTCAACCTCAGATGTGTGCAAAGGAACAGGCCCCTGACCTGGCTCTGGATTAACCTCTTCTAAGTTGGTTTTAAACTCCTCTTTTTCTTTTTTCTGCTTCTCCACAGACTTGGTACTTTGTTTTTTTAGCTCAAAGGCCTCATAGCTGTCCTGCCCCTTCTCAGGACCTGAGACTTCACCATCTAAGCCACTCGCACAGTCAGACTGCTCGAGGGACACTCCAGTCCTATCATGTGGCATGTCCGTGACCGTGTCAACCCGCTCTGTACCCTCTAGAACTTGGCTTTGAACCTGCTCCTCACACTGAGCAGCTGCTAAGGGTCCTACGGATGGGGCTTCCGAGGCGTCCCGGTCCTCGGCCTTTTCACCAGGATGTAAGGCCTCTAGGTCCTCTGTGTGCTGTTCTTGCTCAGTATTCCCCACATTCTCCACCATTTCATTTTTCACTTCCACTTCATTGGCTCTTCCTAAAAGACCATTGAGAAAATTGAAGGGACCCCATGATGTGGTGACTGCTTAATATTAAAATGTAAACACATGCTTTAACTCCCACCCCCCCTATTCCTAGGGTTATCAGAGAATCGCATGAGACAGGAGCCTTTGCCAGGTGTGTGCGGCAAAGCAGCGACTGCATTAGTGATGTTTTGATCAGTGAAGGCCACTGCAGCCGTCTCGTGGGCAGAAGTGGCCGCGGTGCCACTCTGGGTGAAGTTAAGTTTGAACAACTGAAAGGAGCTCTGGATCAGGCAGCCGAACTATCCAAGATGAAGGGTTTTAGAACAGACTTAAGGGTCCTATTCCCCACTCTCATCTCTAGATGTGCATGTCTACGGCTCTCATTTTCCCAGCTGTCTAGTCTCACTGCGTATCACACAGCCCTCAAAGCGGTTTTCAAATACTCTTTAAAAAGAACATTCAGGGGACCGGCAGTTAGCGTAATGGCTATGTCGCTGAACTCCCATGTAGCTAACCGTGGTTCGAGTCCCAGATCCGGTGGCTTAAACTCATGCCGGGCACACACGTGTGTGTGTGTGCCCAAGATCCTGAGAGGGGAATGGGGGAGAAGGGATTGCAGCGTGGCCATCCCCCCTGGGGGGTGATTTGTCACTTTCTATCTCTGTCTTTCTGGCAAGCCAGGAGCCCTATAGCAAAAACCTCTCCAAAAAAAAAAAAAAAAGAACATTCAGCCCACTTTTCCAAACATAGCCTCAAGGTCTCAAGGTCAAACTCAAAGGAAGACACTTTTGAAATAGTTCCAATAAGGTGAAAAGAAACCCCATCTCCCACCACTCAACCATTGTTTCCTGAGGAAGCCTCCCGGGTCTGTGCTCTAAATCGCTCTGCTCCACTCCCTCAGGGAATGGGGAGGGGCTCTAGGAGGAGGCAGACACTCAAGGTCAGGGTGACCGCTAATTAAATAGGAAGCTACCACCAGTTAAAGGATACGGCTGCTCTGGAATGCACAGATGTATTTGGGCTTCTCCACATCAAGGCGCCCCAGCATCTTAGGTATTATGCTACTGAATGGCAAAGCTTGGTCACTTTACAACCTGGGTCTCTACCGTGGGAGGCGCTTACCCAGGGAAAGTAGGGGAAATAATAAGATTTCTATTTAGATATTGTATCTATTTTGTCCTGTACATTTACGTTAATGAAATGTAGTACATATATCCATTTAAAATAAATGTGCATATTGAGACATTCCCATAACTGTACTGAGTGGGGAGATATGTCATCAGAACACTGGAAAGCTCTTAGAAGATCGCCTTAAGCACTCCCCAGTTACAAAATGTGTATTTGAACAAGAGCAGCAAGACCAATTCCGAGCTGTCCAGGTGGCTAAAGTAAAGGTAATGGGTAGCAACTGCTTTTATTTCAACAACTTCTACACAGTCATAAGAGCTGTGTTTCTTTAAGAGCCATGAAGATAATGCGATGCTTCTCTGGCAAGTAAGGTCTGAGAAGCTGCAGCCCAGAGGGCTCTATTTCCACAAATAAAAAGAGACAAAGTGAACGCTTTTAAATCAAACTAAAAAGTTGCAGGCCCTGGCCTTACTGTAGCCTCATTGTAAAAGCTCAAAGGCCACAGATGAGGCCTGACCATGGGCTGCAGCTTCATGTGTGTGCCAGAATCTGAGGTTTATCTCAAAGCCAAATACCATCAGAGATACTCATCAGTGGCTCCTTTTAGATCACTGAAAATGGTATAAAGTATTCCTGCAATTTACTGGAACCCCCACTTTTATATTCTTTCAGAAACAAAAACGTGGCCTACGGAGAACCTCCTCTGATGAGGCAGGTGTGCAGTTCCCCTTGAAGAGCCCCCCTGCCCAGCACTGACCACACCGACCTCTAGGGGCTGCCTGTCCACCCAATGGTCACTTAGGGTGGCGGCCAAGATGTGCTCTGTCACAAGCACTGACCCACTGTCCGTAGGCACTTGTGGCTTTGAAACACTAAAAGCTGTACAGGACAGGCAACGGTGGCTCGCAGACAGGGCCAGCTAACTTATTTGTCAGCCACCGCTGTTCTGGTCTTTTAATAATTCTGCAACAGAGTACGTGAGAAAGCCATACTTGGTACATATCTGAGGACAACCAAACAGTACTGTCCACATTGTCACTAGACCTTGAGACTACCGTCTTTGCATTCAGTCTCACTTGGTAGCTTGGCGAAACCAAAGAAACTCAAGCTGTCAGGGGTGAGCACCAGGCAGAGATGGCGCCAGGTAACACATGGGCGGGCACTCGTTTGGCAAGGAAATTACTGTGATGTGATGGGACAAAGGGCATGCTGGTGGCTGTTAATTGATCAGTGATGATTATGTCGAGTCTAGTAATGCATGAAGGGTGAACTGATGCTGATGTGAAAGAGGACAGAATCCGAAGGAGAGCAGGTACTTACCTAGCGCCCCATCTCCTGTCGACTTGAGGGCATTTAGCTCTTCTTTCGTCATCTTGATAGGACCCTGGTACCCAACGTTGTTTAGCGTGTCTGAAGTCTCTCCATTGGTAGCTGTTTCTGAGTTGAGGATTATCCCATGTTTCTGGGAACAAAAACAAGCTCATCGTAATCCTCCATAGGATATCAGGTCCAACTACTTTCCTAGTGTCTCTCAGCACATACACAAATTGTGCTGCCTTCCTTCGAGGCTGCTTCTTTCCGGGGTGTGCCAGTCCACAGTTTTACTTGCCGGAGACAAGAGACCATCAACCAGCATGTTTCTACTAGAAGTGATGGCCTGTGGCCTGCCATGTGGTGGAGCATCAGGAAAATCCCTGCAAAGTGACCTCAAACTTTAAAACACTGGCCGTAGTTTTCAAAAAGTGAGACTGAGGAAAAGAAAGAAATACGTACCTATTCTGGAAGGAATGACTGAAACTGATGTTACCGAACAAATTAGGAGGCGACTCGAATGCTTGGTGTCTTCTACAGAGAGAAGCATGGATACTCACTGCATCGAGATGCCTGGCCAGCAGCTGCTCCCTAACTGCGGGCCCCTGCCTTACTGTCAGCACTTGCTACTTCCTCTGCCCAGAGCCCTGCCCCTTGTGTCTCAGGGGTGTACCACACTGCCCCCATGGCTTCTGCAGGGGACCTCTTAGGACTCTCAGCTCTAAGCCAGTTCCTGCTGGTTACTGCTGTGGCTTCCACCTGGAACATAAGCGGTTCCCATCGCTAGGCTGCCGCCAACTATCTAGGAATGTCCCTGTGGCCTCACCTTCCCTCAGCACTGCCCTCCTTGGTGCTTTGAGGCCCACTCGGAGCACCACCCGTCATCAGTTTTTACTCTGTGTCTGGCCAGTGGCTGGAGACCCCTTAACATGGCCCGTGCAGTACATGGGGCTTTCCTCTCCCTAAGATCTAGTGAGTCTTGGAGTCTAATTAGCTCGCTCATGCCAAGTACCAAGAACAGGTGCAGTGCCCAGAAATTTGGGGCTGTAATAAAAACAAAGAAATAAATTTTCTAACTCTGGGTAGTGTCTGGAGAACTTACCAGAGTATGAGAAAAAATTGAGATAATACATCAAAACATTTGTGGAAACCAGAGCTCTTTTCCGGATGAGCTCAGCTTATAAACATCTAATGACCATGGGCATAACCCTAAATCCACATTTACTCTGCACATCTCATCAGTAGCAACACCCCAAGATTTGAATTTATTACCAGAATTGAAATCAGTGGCATAAAATGAATTGACATACATATGCACAGAACCCCAGAATCTGCTGTTGACAACTAGATTTCTTAAAACTACGTTGGCTTCATACCTTTAATTCCTCTTTCAGCATGACTACTTCTTCTCTAAGATCATCTCGTTCACTTCTTATGGAATCAAAGAATTCTTTCTGCCTCTCTAAAGCCTGAGTGTGCGGCAGAGCAGAGGGAGAGAAGATTGGCACAGGTGAGCAGGAGACTTTAGAAGCAGGAGCAAGTGTAGGCCACGACTGTGTTAGCCACTCACAGACTGACGCATGAGAGACAGACACCATGCAAGTATGAAGCTTTGAATTTGGTTTATGCACTCCACACGGCGTTCGCTACAGCTGTGCTGCCTGGAGGACATCGGCATTCATTCCCGAGCACACACCCCACATGGAGCACGGCGGGCCACCGCACTTGCGTCTGCCAGCCCGATTTGCGATTTCACTGCATCATGTTACGGTTAACAGGAGAGAGATGCCCATTCAAGTGAAGGAAAAATTAAGAACAGAAAGGACTGCTTAAGATCCCCTAGATGACAACTGTTTTCACAATTTAGCCCACTTCTACACACTGGTCCTTGGCTTTTGTGGCCACGGGTGAACATAAAGTGGTCCTAAGCATGGACAAGAGCATCAGCATGGGCACCCCATGTAGTGTGAGCATGTCCTGGTATGAATGCACACCGACGTGCTCAGACCTGAAAGCTCAGACAGTTTTGTGAGCTGTGTCTCGGGAGTTGCTATTTTTGGAAACCTTTGTCCTTATAGACCATAGCAGTCACTCTGGGATTTCCCTTCTTCCTACTCTCTACTCCATGGAGAGCAGTAGGGAGGGAGGGGGCCTGAGGAGGCCTTCTCTGGGGAGGATTCCAGGTGGGTACTAAAGGTACAACCCCAGGCACCCCTGCAGCTTCCTCCAGCTTTTCTTTCTTTCTTTCTTTTTCTTTTCTCTTTTAGAGTTTTGCCAGACAGAGAGAGGGAAAGTGAGAAGTCACCACCAGGAGGAATGGCCATGCCAAAACCCCTCCTCTATTCTTCTTCTGGGATCTTGGCTTGCACGCACATGTGCCCCGCATGATTTTCAAGCCGCTGTTGCTGAGTTTCAAACCATGGTCAGCCATTTAGGAATCCAGTGCCTCAACCACCATGCCACCTGCTGCTCCCCCTCCAGCTCCATTGAAGAGATACCCAGGCAGGGAACTACACACAGTTTGACCCTCAACACAAGACCTGCCCAGGACTTTGCTTGCCCTGGAGTTGCCACATGCTGCTGGCCTACTCAGCTCAGGCAGAGGGAGCCACTTATACTGACAACAGGAATCTCACATTGGAAGACCATCTCCAACCCCAAGGTCATTATCAATTTGGGCAAGTTAGTGCAGTCACCATATAATTAACCTTGTGTCACATGGGGGTCATGTGCATACTCATGCAAGCGTTTTTGCAAACCAAATTCTGAAAAAAAAAAAAATTGCCAAGCAGCCTGACCTTTGAATAGGTTATCAAAGACTTGTGAAGCCTACCCCTATCTTTTTGTCTTTCCACTCTATTGTTTCCTGAAGGTCAGAAATCTCCCTGATATAACTCGCCTGTTTCTGCTGTAGTTGTCGGATTTCCTGAGGAAAGGAACAGATGGAAAGAAAGCAGGTACAGAGTTAGACAGGAAGAAAACCCCAAGGCTGGAACTCCTGAGAGCCCAGAGAGTGAAGGAGCCCACACACGCCATTCTTCCTCATCGGCCCCGAGTTCACCATCCACGTTCTAGGACTATTTCCCCTGTTCTATCCCTGCTTGGGGAAGTGCAGGAGGAAAGCCCACTTGAGTGAAATTCTTGCTTAAAAGCCACCAGTTAAAGTACTGACTGGGTTTAAATCAAAACTAACACTGTACTGGTTTCCCATTGCAGCTGTCACAAATTATCCCAAATTCCGTGGTTTGAAACATCACTATCTATTCTCTTACACTTCTGGAGGTCTGAAAACCACAAGGAACCCTGTGGGCTAAATTCAGGCAGGGGTCAGTCTGGGTTCCTTCTGAAGGCCAGGGGGAGACTCTGTTTCCTTGCCTTTTCCAGCTTCTAGAACTTCTACGTTCTTGGTTCAGGGCCTTCCTCATACCACCCCACCCCCACTTCTTGTCATATTGCCCTCTTCTGCCTTCAGTGTGGCTCCCTCCTATATAAGACCCCTGTGATGACCAGGTCCACCCACAAACCTAGGACAACACCTGACCCCGCCCGCCCGTCCTGGTCTTTTCCTTTTCTGTTCTTTTCTCTTCTCTTTTCTTTCTCTCTTTCTTTTGCTATAGAGTGGGGGGTGGGAGGGGGCGTTTTCTCGCCTCCCCCAGCAGGGATGGCCACAACACAATCTCTTCTCCTCCACTCTCCTCTCAGGATTTTGAGCACACATGCATACATGCATGGCGTGAGTCTCAAGCTGCTGGATCCAGGAATCAAACCATGAAGCTGGTCATGTGGGACCCAGCACCTTAGCCTCCACACCACCTGCTGGCTCTGCATAGTCCCATTTGCACGTGAGATAACATAGTTACAATTTCCAGGGTCTGGGATGTGGACATCCTTGCAGTTGGGGCATTATTTCATTATTTTCTCTATTGCACGTCACAAAACAAACACAAGATCACTAAAGAGTAGGAATCCCCACCAAGGAGAGCGACCGTTTCCTTCTGTGAGGCACGGGGAGTTGGCCTAGCCGCTCAGTCTTAGGCAAGTGGACACTTCAGTCACTGCTGTGGGTTGAACTGTGTCCTCCAACTCCGTAAGACTATCTGTGGAGGCAGGGCCTTTCCGAGGGAACCAAGGCTGAATGAGGGGACTTTGGTGTCCTTATAAGAGACACAGGAGCTCTGTCCAGTAGGACTGGTGTCTTTATAAGAAGTGATGCCAGAGAGCTTGCGCTCTCTTTCCACCACGTGAGGTCACAGCAGAACGGTGGCTGCCTGCTGTTCTAGAAGAGAGCCCTCACCAGAGCCAACCTTGACCTGAGACGTCCAGTCTCCAGGGCTGTGAGAACATAAATTTCCGCTCCTGAAGCCACCCAGCCTGTGTATCCCACTGTGGCGGCCTAAGCTAAGACGGCGGTGAACCCACAAATGCTCCGAAGCAGGAAAGGACGCGGACATCAGGAGCACGCTCCTACCTCAAGCATTTCTTCTCTTTGCTTCAGGGCCTCTTTCGCTTCAGCAAACTGAAACTGCAGCACGCTGTGGGCATGCTTTTCCCTCTCAAATTCCTACAGAGGAGGAAGACAGCACATTTCAGTGGAGTCACGTTTTCCGTCATTCTGTGTCGTTTTTATGCCATTCACGTTCTGATGATTTATCCTTCCCTTGGAACCAATGAGCCGTTGCTGTCCTCACAGTTTTCAAGGCCTTTTTAACTGCACGAGTCCGTTTCTCCGTTCCTAGGAGGTGCCCGATGACTTACTGCAACGCTCACTGAGGTGCTGAGGTCACCAGTGTTTCCTGACCTCTCTCCAGTGGAGCAGCGCTCTAGGAAGGTTCCTCTTCGGGGTGCCTGCCATGGTCAGAGGCCACACAGAGTGCATGCAACAGGCAGGCCTAACAAAGGACTTAAAACTATCCCTGATTTGAAATATTACAAGAAATACTCAGGATAAAAAGGAGATAAATATGGCTTTTCACTAGTATCTCTCATTCACTGTGATGGCCACTTCTGTACTCTCGAGCTGCCACTCGTGAGACAAAACAAGAAAAATCGGCGGACATAAGCAAAGAGCTTGTAAGACAAAGCTGTTCTCCCAAGTCCATCTTTCCTACCGTGATCACCCCAGGACTCCAGCCACGTGGCTTTTCTATTCTCTCGCTCAGTTGGTGGCACTGTCCCCTGTGATGATCTGGTACCCGAGCAACTTTGCCAACAGTTTAAGGGATAGCAGGACACCTGCTCCATGGCTCTGTGGAGTAGGTCCCTTGGGATCTGACCTTAGCTTCTGCTTCCCTTGGTGCTGTCTGCTCACCCACTGTTTTTAGTCTGTGGGTGGCTGGTATCTGCTGAACTGTGACAAGGGCCTTCCTTTTGAGCTAGGCTTGGCCCCTGCCCTAACCCTGGAACAACATTCTAGGACCACTTAGCTTTTCTGGAGTTAGCCCTGGGGGCTCTTGGTCCACGAGGTGAAGCTTAAACAAAGGTAGTCTAGGCACAGTTTGTAGTTCAAAGGCATTAATTAGGGTGCCCTCCCCTCCACAGGGGCTCAGAATGTGCTTGCTCTTTGTTCCCACGTGACATCGAGTCTCGGGGAAAGTTTCATATTCTAGTGTTGGATAAACTAGCTAATTCCTGAACATGTGAGAAATAAGCATTATTACTCCGTATCTCCCAAAGAACATCTGCGTCCAGACTGCACCAAGTCAGCCGACTGTCATTCACTTCAGCACAGTCATGCTTTATACTGATGTCATAAATGGCAGATTAATTCCAATGGCTCTAAGTGAAAGCACAGACAGAACTCTGTTTTTTCTCTGAGTTTAATGAAGATATTTCATTCTTAAGTGGACTGACCCAATCAGCAGAAAATAAATGAACATAGTTTTCTTGAACTCTTTGATATCTATAACTGTTTCCCTAAGGTGTTAAAACAAAAACCAGGAAATGCGTAGTAACAAGAAACCCTTGAAACATCTAACTGTGCCCTACCCAAGTACGCTGGTTCTTTCACAGGCCTGCTTTTCATCGTGATGATTTCACTTACACGCAAAATAGTAACGTCCTCATATAACTGTCTCTAGTTTAAATGTTGGAGTTATGTATATTAACCCTGCAAGCCACTGAGCAAGAGCATGGTATTTTTATTCTCAGATGTTCCAATTTCCTGAACAAGTTTAAAACTACCGTTTTAAAAAAACATATAATAGAGACCAGCAGGTGGCATGATGGTTAAGGTGCTGGACACTCCCACATGGCTGACCATGGTTTAAGTCCCAAACCTAGTGGCTTGCTTTCTCAATTTCCTTCTCTCTCTCTTTGTCTCTGTATCTCTCTGGTCAAATTAAAAAAAAAAAAAAAAAAAAGAATGATCAAATAAAATTAAATATTTAAAAAAAAATCTAGTACACACACACACACACACACACACACAAGTACATACTAGGGGACTTCAAAAGGTTCATATAAATGGAATTAAAGTACAAGCTTATTTTGGGGCAAAAAGTTTTGAAGTCTATACATACTTTGTCTCATGATATGCATTTTATATGAACTTTTAAAGGATGCCTAATGCCTATTATAACATTAAAAAAAAATCATGCTAAAGCTTACTTTATTTTTTTCTTCATACTGCCGCCTGGATTCAGCCAGCTGTTCTTCAAGTTCCAGTAACGTGTCCTTCAGGGAGTCGACCTGGTACATGAGGTTTGTCTTTTCGTTGTCTAGCTGAGCATTGGAAACCATAGCTTTCTTGTATTTCTCCTCAACTTCTGCTAGAGAGTCCTGTAGACGCCAGGTCAGATTTTTATAGTCGCAGTAAGAAAACCAACAAAAGGTGAGTTCAGTATTCTTCAAAACGGAACAAAACATCAATTAGGTCCCAAATTTAGACTTTATTTCTTAGAGTAAATGAGTCAGGCTAAGAAACACGTGGCGACTTCGAAGGCACAGAAATCTCCCCTTTTCAATGATCAAATTCACATCATTCAGAGAATTAGTCATTATCTGTGTCCAGGGTGGAAGTGGTTTTCACACTCATCAAAACAGACAGCTAGTGTGGGAAGTGAGGTCAGGGAGGCAGTGGAGTCACAGACAGGGACTCTTCCCAGGAGGCGTGAAGGGCTGCAGGCTGGGCCATAGGCCTCTCGAGGAACCGATATAGCATGTCCCAGGATCTGGGGATGAATCGGTGCGTGACGCCGGTGCAACTAAACACGCTTGCCACAAGCAGCCCCCAGCGTCCCTGTTTCAGCCTATGGACCGGGAAAGGGTTATGTGGCAATTGTAGGTTTTCAACCTACAAGAAAACTCTACATGGTACATAGGTCTCACTAGGTAAGTTCTGGAAAGACAAAGGTCATGCCTTCAAAAGGACAGCCCAGAAATAAACATGGCCATGCCCTCCTGTGGCTCGTGCCCTGGCAGGTCAGGCTGCAGAGTGAACATGGAGGCACTGAGATCCCCAGGAACGGGATTCCAGAACAGAGAGCGGAACCCTGAGTGTACACCGGCCCACACTAAAGAGAGAAGAGCAGGCGGGATGGCCATCTGCCGTAGGAGTCGCCAGGAGGCTTCTCGGAAGCCTGTGCCACCTTGTCCTGCACTTCCGAACTGGCAACAGCTGCAGGTAGGACCAGAGCTGTCCCGGTTGGTTCAGCGGCTCCCTTTTACAGGAGCTGAAAACCAGAGTCTCTGGCCAGTAGGTGGCATGGTGGTTAAGGTGCTGGGTCCCACATGGCTGAGTTGGCAGTCATGTCCCAGGCCTGGCACCTTGAGAAACACGCCTGAAATGTGTGTCCAAAACCCCGGAGAATGGAGGAGAAGGGACTGCAGCATGGCCATCCCCCCTGGGGGGTGACTTCTCACTTTCCCCTATCTCTGGTGAGTGCATATACCCTGTAGTTAAAAAAAAGAAAGAAGTGTTAAAAGAGAAAGAAAGCCAGAGTCTCAAATTGCCACTCCCTTTAAAGAGAAGTGACATGTACGAAATGATGAGTTCTTCGTGTGATTCATGTCATCACCTCTGTTTGGTGCCCTTTGATCTGAATTCAGACTATTTCTCAGGTACTTTCTGGAGCTCCAACAAGGAAGTATTAGATTTACCATCTATTGCTAGGCACAAGGTCAGCCCTAGGTGGCTAGTGAAGGTGATTACTGTCCACTCACCTGACCCTCAAGGAATATGGCAACTCAACTTACTGGGTGGCACAATAAGGAGAGTCATATTCTTCTAATTTTTTTAGAGAGATTTTTGCTATAGGGCATGTGCACTGGACAGAACCTGAGAGCTAGAAATCGCTCCTTGGGGGATGGCCACACCGCAGCCCCTTCTCCAGTCTCCTGAGATTTTGGGCACGCACGCACATGTGCCCAGTGTGAATTCTAAGCCGCCTGGTACAGGACTAGAATCGCATTCAACTGGGAGTCCAGTGATGTAACCATGATGCCATCTGCTGGTCCCAAGAGACTCCACATTCTAAAAGTATATTCTCAAAAAAATCCAAGGTGACACAGTCAGACTCGCCTTCAGTTAGTGAAATCTTACAGTACGCAAATGCTTTGGGTGTTCCAAAAGCACGGCGCGCTGGCACGGCCGTACTGGGAGACATCCGTTATTTTGAAAAACCAATCAAGTGAAGCCTTGCTTGAATAAAAAGTGAAGAAAACCGATGGCTCTTCTGAAGTGCCTGTGGGAAAGCCTGGAGGAGGATGGTGAGTTCGAGACATGCATCGGGGGCTGTTAGTAACCTCTTCTGGCGGGACGGTTACAGTTTTTCAAGTCTTGGTTCAAAAACTGCATTTGGGGAAATGCTCAGTGCAATGCATGCTCAGTTCCTGCCAGTTGCAGTTTTTCTCCAGCCTGGAGCCTCTCTAGAGTAAGCACGCTCTTTGCATTGCTTCTTTAGGGCTTTGCTAAGTTAGGTTGGGTTAGTGTTGCACACCCACACTTCTGGAACCGGTACCTTCATCTCTTTCAACCCCTGCATGTATTTGCCTTCTACATCCTGAATCTGGTCCTTCAACTCATTGAGCTCCTGGGGGAAATGGCAAAAAGGCAAATGATATCCAGGGGAACAATGGACAGGGACCCCCCCCATACACACACACACAGCGAGCAGTTTCTTTTACATGAAGGGGGAGGTCTTTAAGAAGCTCATGGAAATGTGTATTATGAAAAACCTGTGTGAATTTCAACCATTTTTTCACCCAAATAAACCCATACATGTATTCCACTTTCCATGAACTTTTGAAGCCCCCACCCCTATACTTCTGGCAAGTTTGTATTATGTAGGTGATTTGGGAATCAATTTTCTTTTTTCTTTTATTAAATATTAAAGAAAAAACTCAGTATTACAAGGATTAAAATGTCGGTGTACTCCTATGGTTTTACAGTTTTATAAAACAGAGGAAAGAACTTCTAAAAATGGTGCAAGTTATTTCACTGCTACCTGACACTTCTTCAAGCACTTGGAGTTCCTGCTTTGTGCAGGGTACAGAAAGATGCTAGAGGTAGGATGGAGCTCCCAGGCCCCATGTGGCCCGCCCCGTTGACCACGAAACTCCTGGTGCCTGGGGCAGTGTCTGGCATGCGACAGATTCTCAGTAAGGATCTGCTGAACAAATGAACGGTGCCTGGCACCTGAGGGCCAAGGCGACTGAGGATGGTAGCAAACTCCACTTCTGTACAGAGATCTGAACCAAGAGTGAGGGCTGCAGGGAGTCAGGGTGAGGCACGAGGGCACTTCAGGAAAGGCAGCCAGGATGCCATGCTGGCTGCATACGCCATAGAACAAAGGACTTGGAAGGCTTCTGCGAGGTTACCCAGTCCAGCCCCTGGGAGAGATGAAGTCCCTTCTCTGTCCTCCAGGGCAGGCGGCCGTTCAGCCGCTCAGCCACTATGATGGGGACCAGGTCTCTGTAAACCCATGTTAAGTGGTGGAGCTTCCCCAGATGAAGCCAAGTCATGGTCCTTGCAGCCCCGTCGCCTCAGCTCTGCCCTCCAGGACATGTGTTTCTGGGAATCTGACCTTCCCTCTGAGGCTTCTTTTTCAGATGCAGTGGCCCCAGTTACTTTAACAAACAGTATCCTTTTCTCACACAAGAGAATGTTACCAAATGCCTGGCAGTTCTGGGTGCCAAGGAAGTAACAGGGAATAGTATCTACAGGGAATAGTATCTACATCTTGGTGGGAGAAAACCATCATCAACGGTGGGGCCCACTCAAGGCATCTTAGGAACGCGGGAAAGGACACATTCGGGCAGAGGGAGCAGATACTCTGAGGGCGAGGTCATGAGCAAGTTCTCGGTGTGGCCGGGAGCTGGAAGCGCTGCGATGTCCAACGTTCTCAAACGGACTGGACGTCCCAAGGTGCCAGGTGAACAGAGAGGGCAGTGGCGCCAACACGGCGCTGAGTGTGCTCACTACGGCCCACCCAGGTCTGATGGGCGTCTGCCCTGCTGGGCCAGGCGGGTCAGGGTCGGCTTCCCGCAGGAGAGACCATGCATGTATTTGCCTTCTACATGCATGGTCTCTACATGGTCTCTCCTGAGCCGGCCTGGGTGTTATGAGAAAACTGTGTTTTAGAGGAGGTGGGGGAGCCAGGAGTGATAAGAAAGATCTGGAACTCTACGAATTAACCCCTTTTTTAATTTGAAGACCGATTTCACAAAAGGTTCTTTCAAGCAGTGAGTGAGTGTGCATCTTACCTTGATCTCCCTCATGGATGCCTCGGTCTCAATGGAGATGGAGGTGTCTCCGCTTCCTCTCCGAGAGGAAGTCCCGCCCAGAGAGGCCAGTGTGGCTGCGGACAAGCTGGGCATGCTGCGCGGCCCCTGGGATGTTGAAGAGCAAAGGCGACGTGTCAGACTAAACAGCCTAATTCACGTCCGACTGATTGTGCCTTTCCTTCAATTCCTTTCCCAACCGGAAAATCTTCCACGGGCTTACGGCAGGCAAGAGAGAGAGGTTCACCTTAGGTGCCTCACGGATGCTCTGCGGTCGGGTCAGCACTAAGCTCATGGAGGGGCCCCTCCCAAACGCCTGCACTGTTATATGGTATTGAACACACATGCTGGATGTGACAGTAGGGACTCCCTAAACAGATGCGACACCAGGCCTGTGGGCTCCTAGTCCTGCTCACTCACTGGTAGATTTTATGAAAGGTCAAACAGCATCTCTTGTCAGTTTCGTCCTTGAGATTTGGGAACCTCCAGGTTTATAAATGGCATGATATGAAGGTTTATGGAAACTGCATACCTTCTCAGTGAAATCTTTATCTGGTCTCTCTTCAACCTGCAGAGGAAAGTGACAACTATTATACACTTGATGCATTCTATCAGGTATGATGATAACATGAATTTAGAGGGTAGGATGATAAAAACAATAAAACGTTAGCTTCTCTAAAAACGTTGTCTTCACATCCTTCCTGTCCGGCGTCTCTCTGGGAACCCCCTTCTCTCGGGCCAGATCTCAGTGGGACCCTGTGTGGCCTGCAGCGCACCAGGAGGGTGCACAGTAGCCTCAGGCCCCAGGGACACGTGGGTGTTGAGAGTGACTTGGGGCCAAGAAGCCATGGCTGGCACTGGTGTTCCTTTGTTCTTTACTCAGCATCCAACAAAAGCCCAAGGTTTCTTTGCTCTGCATGTTTTTCTGTCACACTGAGGTTTCTAATCGTACTCCCTGGGTGGGTACAGAGGTTGTCTGTCTCCAAACTCCCCAGAAAAGCTGCCGGGGAGCACCATGCCTCTACCTCCGGCTCCTGTAGCTCAGAAGACGCAGGGCAAATGCAACTGCAGCTGCAGGCTGGCAGCTTTGGGAGGCGACCGGACACTGGTCACCTTCGGGGCCTTCCCCAGCACAGCTCAGACCCATCGAGCTCACCCGAGGCTGCGCTCAGAGACACCAAGCCGCTCTGGAGTCTGTGACCCGCAGCAGCTCAGTACACGGGTGCCAAGCTCGTGGCCAGGTCAGGGCAGACAGTGGTCTCCAAACACTGCCTGCCTCGTGCCCGCCCCGAGCCCAGTCTGGGCCAAAGGCCCGCATCTGCACCATCCTGTCCCCACCGAGAAGGCCTGCTAACTGCCACCTTCCCACCGCTGAACGCCTCACCCCTTCGGCCTTCTCTCCAAGGACAGGACACACAGAGTGATCACCAAAGTAACAGGGCCGAGAGCTGGAACCAATCAGCCCACCCAGAGGGTCAGACAGAACTCAAAGGATGGCAAATTCAAGAACCCAGCTCTTAGCTCAGGGCAGCTGCCTTCGACCCTGCACGCTGATCCCGGGGCCATCACGCGACCTCGCCCACCCGTGCCACACCTGAATCCTCGGGATGGACTTTCTCCTCGCACCTAACTCATCTCCCGAGTGTTCTAAGAGCAGGGAAGGAAACGAGAATGAAGAGGTCATCACCCTCAGCCCCTGAAATGGACCCAGGTTTGCTAAGAACGTCCCTCGGCAGGGAGGAGTGGGAGAGAGCATTGATCCAGATGCTCCCTCTACCCGGATCTCCTCCTTTCCACTCAGCTGCAGCTGCTGCCCTCTAAGGGTCAATCTGAGGCCGGTGCATCTCACAGGAGTCCCCACAGTCTGGCCGGCAGGTGGCCCCTCTGCACTGTCTTGGCTCCCTCCTGGATGGGGCAGTTCACTCTGGGCAAGATGGTCACTGCGGACCACCACCACGCCACCTGCTGCTTGCTGGCATGTGCTCAGCACGTGTGCAAGTGCACATCTGCATCCCATTTTTGAGATGCGCATGCCACATTCACCTGTGCACATTTTGAGCTGAGGTAGATGCCGATGGACAGGGTTTTATCTACTCTGGCCGAGCCCCGGGGAGCCCACCTCTGTGTTCTGACTTGCAAGCATGTTCCAGCATTTCAGATGGAGAGAACACTAGTAGTTCAGGTTTTTCTCTCCATTTGGGAATAACATATTCCTGAAATACTTTTCCAAATTAAATTTTCAAGCAACTAAGGCGAAGTGAAATCTAGCATCCAGTCTGCTGGGAAACTGATTTGTGAATTCTCCTGGGCTCAAGAGGTGTATTTCTTGGAACGAGTTTGTTCACAGAGCCAACAGTAGTGAGGTGAGAATGGAGAGATGATGATGGAACGGCTGGTGGGGCCCCAGGACCCCACGGAGAAGGTTGCGGCTCGGGACTCGTGTCAGTGCCGTTTCTGACTGCCATTAGCAGTGGATACTGTGCCGAAATAAATGATGTTCATCCACTAAGGTATCTGTGCCCACAGGAGAAGGGTTTATTTTTAGTACTTCTTCCAAGAGAGATGAGAAGGAATCTAATCCAGACCGGTAAACACTGGTCCGGGGCGGAAGAGCCTTCAACACCCCTGCTCTGTGCTGTGCCGCTCGCTGCCGTGTACGTGAGCTGCCCCTTCGTGCAACACAAACATGGGTCACAGCCTCGGTTTCTCTAGCCCCATCTGGCAGCGTTCAGGTTCCTCGCTCACGTTTCCTCTGGATACGAAGGCATCGTGTGGAGCACGGCTGCCTAAGACGTGCGTGAGGGGTGTTTCCAGGGGTGTCACCAGGGGAGCGTGAGGCTGCGGGAGGATTCCCAGTGTACTCTGAAGCTGGACGACACAGATGCGCTGGCGTCACTGCCTAGGAGTGGTCGAGCCTGTGTGGTCAGAGCTCCTGATTCTTGCTCCTTCCACTGGCCTGGCTCCCTTGCAGCCAGTGTGGCTGAGGTTTCTGTATCACTGGGCGGGCTGCTGGCCTGGTCTGTGCATGCCGCGGGCAGGGCCATGTGTGTGAGGCTCACTCCAGGCCCTGTGCCTGGATGGTCCAAGTGCTCAGCACACAGTCCCTGAGTGACGAGTGACTATGGCCGCCTCAAGAAGATTCTAGATAAAGCACGACTCAGCCACAGGCTGGGGAAGTGGGCCTGGGGTGGAGGTGCACTATGTGCCCCTGAGAGGGAGTTGGCATCCCCCCCTGCTCCCCAAGGAGCACACTCCTGGAAGGCCGTGAGGCGGGGCACAGCGTAGGGCCCGACCCTGGTGATGGTCTCGGACACTGCTGTGTCCTTTAAGTGGGACGAGCTGCCATCTTTAATAGCACCGCCTCTCCCCGGCACTGGCCTTCCTCCCACTGTAACCGGGTGAGGCGGGCTCGCCTGTGTGGTGTCTCAGACCCAGAGCAGACTCCCCAGGGAGCCCTGCAGGGCTGCCCCGTGCCTGTGTGTTGCCTCCCCTGAGACTCCTGTCTGTCCTCTCTCAGGCTGCACCCCAGCCCAGCACTGCCAGTCCGATGAGGTGCGCGCCAGGGATCCCCACCACCCCCCAAGCCCCCGAGCCACTGTACACGGCAAACATTGCTTCACACCCCTGGGTAAGCTGCCAAGCAGAAGCACACCACTGGCTTACGTCCTTGTGGTTCTTTAAGGCTGTCACTTCCCCTTTCTGGTGAAGCGCAAGAAGTGCAGTGCCTGGCCAGATGTCCCAAGCCAAGAGTGCGACTGCTGACCTCCGCATCTGGCTCTCATAACTCCCTGCCCAAGGCCACCTGCCCAGGCCCTCTGAGAGAGGCCAATCTCATTCCTGTGCAGGCCCGCTCCTCAGGCACTGCCCGGGGCCTGCTGCTCCTCCCTCCCAGGCAGAAGGGTCAGGGGAGCCCGAGCTCAGACAGCTCCTTTCCACCTCTGAGGTCACGGCCTTCCCCTAAAATGTGGCCCACCCACAGTGCACCGCGCCCTTCCAGGGATGCAGCCATCCTAGGACTGAGGAAATAGAAACAGTACTGACTCAAGGGGAGAGGACTATGTATTTTGAAAATGATGAACTTGAGAGAGCCTGTGGACTAGTGGATAAGGAAGCCAGGGTCCACACAGCTCAATATGGTTCGAATCTCAGCCCCATAAACTACAAAACAAACAAACAAAACAAAACAAAAAAACATACCTAGGTGTGTGTGCGTGAATGCCCAAATCCCAACAGGATGGAGGGAGGGAGGAGAAGAGACCAGCGTGACCACGCCCCACTGGGGGTTGCTTTCCCCGCTCCCTCGCTATTCCTTGGTCTCACTTAGGAGAGAGCATACAACCTCTGGCAAATATAAAAAAAAGAAGACTCTGGAGAAGATGCCAGCCTCGTGCTGCCTTCTGGGCTTGCTCCAGATGCAGGGACACTGTACGTGCCCTCTGTCCTCGAGGCGATCGGGGATACTGTGACCACGTCCCTCGGGAACTGCCCTCACCCTGCAGACACCCTGCAGTTCTAAGAGCCCCACACTGGACATCTTGTCTGCTCTGTGGTTCCCAGCCGAGGCAAGTCTCCAGGATGAGGTGGCAGATACTGCTGTGGGACCCTGACCTTTATCACCGAATGTGCCAACAGCACAGCAGTCAGCTGACCTTTGTAAACAAGCAGCTGACTCAGGGCAGAGAAAATCCAACTTATCTGTTTGTGAAGCACAGAGAAATCAGCTCAGTTAGGCACCTGAGTGTCCCCCAGACTCAGAGTCCTCAGCCGTCCCCATGCGCAGCTCAGTGCGTGCGGCGCCTGTGAGCACGGGCCGGGCCGTCAGCTCCCAACTCCAGGAATCAAAGTGGAGCGCTGCGGAATTGGGAGGGCCCAGAGAGCCTTCCTGCTTTCTCCTCATGATGACACATGAAGAAAATAGCAGCCCCACCCCAGGATGGCCCCCAGCTACGGAGATCACTCACTCCTCTCTCCAGCCTCAGAGACGCCGGGAGCTTCGACCACTCGGCTCCTTAATTACGGTCCCCGCCTAACACTGTTTCAGGAAGTGAATGTGTCACACACTTAGAAACGTGACAAAGGCACTGGATCCCACACGGCCAGCAGTGAGGGTCGAGTCCCGGACTCAGTGGCATGTGGACGTGAGTGCTCAGAATCCTGATGGGAGCTGGAGCTGAAGGGACGGTAGCATGGCCTCCCTTCAAGGGGAGTGCTCTCTCACCCGCCCGTCGGCTCTTTCTCTGCCTGTCTCCAGCAAGCACACGTGCCCAATAGGACACGAAAAAGAAAAAGAAAAGCAAGTATATGACAAAGCCTCTGGAGTCAATCGTTTCTAACAGACGATACCGAGGCCCCTACTCTCTGACTTTATCGTGATGCTTGAACGAACCCAAAGTAAACGTTTATGATTGCAGATTGTCACTTGAAACACACCAGGCAGAGGGCAGTAAGGGTGATTAAGAGTCTTTGCTTTTTGTTTTGTTTTGTTTTGTTTTGTTTTGCATAGAGGGTGTATGTGCTTGCCAGAGAGAAAGAGACAGAGAAAGAGAGGGAGGGAGAAGGCACCCCCCAGTGGGAAATGGTGATGCCACAGACCTTTCTTCTCCATTCCTATCCTGTCGTGTTTTAGGGCATACATACACATGTGCCCAGGCATGTTTTTCAAGCTGCCAGAGCCAGGACTAATACCACTGGCCATGTGGGATCCAGATTCCTTAACCACCAGGTCACAGGGACAACCCTCGTGTTCAGGATTCTTCAAAACTGAAGCCACAGCTGCCTTCTGTCAGTTGTAAATATTCTTTTTCCCCCCAAAAATGAGAGCACAGGAGAGTACTGTGCCTAAGGGTGATTCCTTTATCAGCTTTATCATGGGACATGTTTATTCCCAGTGGTCCTACAGCATCACATAGGTTAGTTTATGTGTGCTGGACCATCACAGCACAGGAGTCTCGGCAGAGCCGACGGAAGGGAAGGGGACCCGAGGCCGGCCCGGTGCACTGAGCTCAGGGGCCCACACTTCCTTACTCACAGCCACTGCCTTTCAGGCAGCCGCCAACAGCACAAAAAGCACCTTTTCTGATTATCCGAAGGACAGTTACGTGAGGCTGATGGGCCGAGTTCTCAGTGGCACTGCGTGGTCAGTTCTGGGGCAAGATCGGTTCTTTTTCAGGTTTTTGCCACAGGGCACGTGTGCTACCAGTGAGGCAGTGAGACAGTGACAGGAGCAGTGAGAGGTCACCCCTTGGGGAAGATGGCCATGCCACAGTCCCTTCTCCTCCCTCTTCACTCAGGACTTTGAGCATGTATGCACATGACCTGGCATGATTTTGCCAGGTTTGAGATTCAAATCATGGAGCTGGCTATGTGGGATCCAACCACTCTAACCTCCAAGTCACCAGCACGGTAAGACAAACTGGCCCAACATGGCACCTCTCTGTAGGGAAGCCCTCGGTTCCACCGCCTCCTCTGGTTTCCTGAACTCCAGACTGAGGCATAGGGTTGGCAACTCAGTGAAGAGCCACGTGCATGTTTGCCAGGGCTGGGAGCTTCGCTATGGGAAAAAGAACGTGACCTCCCCCATCTGCTTCTGTCCTACCCAGGGTTTACCAAGGACAGTACCCATGGCCATGGGGTGTGCTGGTCCGCAGCCCCCTCCCTCACCCCGACACATCCCTGTTAAAAGCATGATGGAATAGCCTTAAGCAAGGCATCAGGTCAGGGAAGACCAAGTGGAAACTCCTGAAAAGCCCAAGATAACGCAGCGATGAGACGCCCAGGGTGGGGGCGAGCTGAGTGGAACCTTATTTTCTGAGGCAGAACTTGGTCCTGCGGGGCAGATGGGAGTGTCCGCTGTGGATTGCACACACCCCCGGAGGGGAGAGCCCCTGGGGTAATGCCTAAATGGAGCTGAGCTGGAATGTCACAGGTACAGGGGCCCAGGCCTAATTTTAAATTCTCTGGGCTTGATAACATGACATTTCAAACAAATGCTAAAAGTCAATCATTCGGGCCTTGAAATCATAAAAACGACGCGCCTGTGCACACAGCTGCACTCTCCCTCCCACTCACGGCTGCCCTCCAGACCCCATCTCTGAGTAACATCGACAACTTTTGTGCTCCTTGAGAAATTTAGCAACGGAGTCCAGACAACACCACCAAACAGTAATACTCCAAATTTGGAATCATTTCTTCCCTAGCCCTATGTTTATTTAGACCTGAAATAAAACGGGAAAGCCTTCGGACTGCGTCCTACGTTTCTGGCTCTTGAAGAGGGTAGTTTTTAGAGGAGACGGAGGAGGACAGATGGAAGGAGGAGGGAAGAGGGAAGCAGGCCGGTCAAAGGGGGCAGACTTACCACCGGGCTGGCCCGCGCCGAGCTGGGCCTGGAGGAGGCGCGGGAGCCGGAGTTGAGGTGGCCGCTGTACTCCGAGTGCTGCCCACACAGCCAGCCGCAGGGACACGCAGACAGAAACAAGAGAACAGGGTTAGCAAAGAAGCGACAGCAGCAGAGGCCAGACGAGCTCTCCGGGGAGTCGTGGAGGGTAGTCATGCCATTGCAGAGAGGAGGAGAGCGGTGAGGCAGGCTCTGCTCGGGGGAGAGGCCTGTGTCCATCACGTGCCCCCGTTGGTGCCCACGAAGGATGAAAGCAACAACCAGGGCCGCAGAGGATGCAGACTTCTGAGTTAGTAAGGAGGTGAGAACACACGCGTCCGTTCAGCTTGGGCGTGCAACTGCGCTTGTCACCCGCAGGGCACCAACCGCGACCTCGAGCACAAGCCGCAGATTAGGACAGGGACTTGGCGTTTCGGCAACGGGAAACCTTGCTTCTCGACTATCTTTCCAAGTGGAAACAAAGTAAGACTTCGGGTTAATACAAGGTCGTGCACGGCCTCTTTAAAGGCCAAGCTCCCTGTCTTGGGGGCGCTGCGTGCGTCTGTCATCCGTCTGTCCACTCCGGTAAAGGAAACTCGGGCAGCTACCCTGAGAGTCATGCCTTCATAACCTATGTTCCTGCTGGTTCTAGTCTTAAATGCATTTTTGTGTTATTTTAAAAACTCTTATTTTCCTCTTGAACAAGGCAGGGCAGAGGAGAAAGGGAGGCAAGAGTTGGACACCACTGGGGATCTTGAGCATTGGCAGATCGTGACGCGTCCTGAGGGGTCTCTTTGAGAGGGACCATGTGGCACCCTGCGGTGAGCCCCTCCATGGCTGCGGCCCCTCTGCCCCAGCGCCTGGATGCCCCGCTCGGGGCCAGGCGCTCAGCTGTTCTCTCCACTGGCCTCCTGGCCCACTGGGAGCCCCGCGTCTGCATCCTCATTGCACAGTACAAGGAGCCCCAGATCTGGAGGGGCGCTCATGATTCCCATCCCAGACTCTGCCTCTTCGTCTACCTTCCCACCAGGATGCCACCCCCAAGGGCTGGGTCTGTGGCTGTTCTGTTCCCTGTGAAGCTCCAACGAGCAGGTGGGCCCGGCACGCAGGCCTGTATGCAGGAAATTCTTGGGAATGAATGAATGCTTCGACTTCAGAAAGGAAACAGTCACAGAATGCCTCCTTGCTCTTAAATGTCCGTGGGGCTCTGGGCAGGTGGGCAGGCTCCCCATACCCCTCCCACCCACATGCACTCCTGTACCCCACAGATGTTTATTACAAACTTGCACGCAGGGGCAGGACGGTAGTAAACACGGTGACACTGGTGTGTGTACACCGTCGGTCAGACAGCACTGCGACCTTGGCAGGAGCGTGTAACAGACTTGTCGGTTCTGCTAGCCTGACCTTTTGGCTTTTTTTGCTCAAAGAAAAACACTTGACGTCAGCACTGTGAGGCAGAAATCTCGCCTCTGGGTTTACTGACAGGAGAGCGAGGCAAACTCCACCCCATAGTACATCCTGCTTCTGCGTCGTGCGTGCCCTGGCTTAGGCTGCAAAGCTCGGGTGAATTGCTGGTGGGGCTTATTCTACACCACATTTCCCTGGTCAAAACAGTGCTCACCACCCGCTCGGACTTGACTATGCAGAAGAGAGAAAGTTAAAAGTCCGTGTCACCAAGTGCATGTGCCACCAGACACTCAGGGCTCCTGTGGCTAGGGCGGGGCTGATGGAAGTCAGAAAGCTTTGAGTTCGAATCAGGCCACCTCCTGTTGGCCACGCGACCTTGGAAAGGTTATGGAGCCTGTCACCTACGGCCCCCGCCCCCCGAGCCAGGGCTCAGCCCACACAGAGGTGCTGAGGGTGGTCCAGAATGCATCCTGGGCTTTTTTCCACTTTCCCAGTTTCTGGATTAGGTGGCATTGCTGGTGATGGCCATGGCCACTTCCAGCATGTCGAAACAACCGAGAAGGTCACGTCACACACAGTTCCCAGCCCTCCCCTGGGGCGATGGGGGGACAATTCTGGTTTTCCAGGGGCAGGAACAAGTCTTCCCAAAAAGTCTTTCACAGGACTGTCTGGTGCAGACCCGAGGGCAGCTGGATCCTGCGGTCACAGCCACTAGGGCCTGATACCTCAGGGCCGCGGGCTGGGTCCTGTCTGGCTCTGGGCTGAGCCCTAGAGCCTTCACCACAGGAATGCGTGGCCAGTGGTCACCACCACAGCTGGGCTGAGGGTCGGGGCTCTCCTCACGTACACCCCACTCAGGACAACCGTGAATGTTCAAAGATAGGCATGGCGGGACACTCAGGAACCGCCTCGCTCCTTCCATCTCTAGCTCATGATGCTAATTTTCCGCCGAAGCAGAGCTGAGGGGCCCACGGCCTTCCATGCTCACCCGATCCACACGGCTGAGCTTGATGTTAGGTGTGTGCCTCGGAACCAGGACACGGGCCCGTCTATGGGCATTTGAGCTGCGAGGACAAGATTGCCTTCTGTTCCTTAGCCTCACAGAGGCCATCGCTCCCAGGCAGTCCCTGGGGGAGGCTAGGGCACGGAAGTCATTGCTCACCAAGGAGCAGCCGGCAGTGCCAGGAACTGCAGCTGAGGCCGGAAGCTCATCTCCAAGGAGCTTCAAAGAGCAGCCCCTGAGCCCGCCACCCTGACAGGCTGGAAACCCCACTCAGGCCCCCAGAAAACTCGCCAGTGCTTGGAAAAAGTCTCTTCCTCTTTAAGGATTAGTATGCTCTCTCATTCTGATTTTTAAAAAAGGCAGCTGCACTGTTTCCATCCTGTTATAGGTCAGGGCTATCTCCTCTTCCAGGCATGGTTTACAAGCTTCCTAATGGCCTATAACAATATTTAAGAACTGGAAAAATATCTATTACAGTGGGCTCCATGTTAAACAACTCCTGCAACACAAAAATTGCTAAGTATTTAATTAGATGTTAACAAAAACTAATGCTCTGTCAACTGAGTATTAGGGCTTTGTTTGCTTTTTAAATCTGCCAGAGGGCATGTGAGCTCTCACCGGAAAGAGACAGAGACAGAGAGAGAGAGAGAGAGAGAGAGAGAGAGGGAGGGAGGGAATGTCGGAAAGCACCCCCGGGGGCTGGTCACGCTGCAGTCTCTTCTCCTCTCTAGATTCCGGGCGCTCACGCACCCATGCCCTGTGTGTTTTTCAAGCCATCAGGTCTGGAACTCAAACTGCAGTCAGTCATGTGGGATCTCACCACCTTAACCAATATGCCACTTGCTGGACTCAGTATTGGGCTTAAAAACTACATGTTAAAGAAAACTAGGTAGATTGGCATGGTTTCAAAAGAACTCACACATATCCACGATGGTTGGCAAACTGGGTGTGTGGAGGAACCTCTGGGTGCAGGAGCACCATCTGCCACTGGGAGTGCTGGCTAGGATGGATTGCTCGATTCCCATGGTCCTAAAGGCAGGCAATTGAGCTTTCTCGCCTCCATGGGTTCCGCCTCATTGTTCTATGTTATTACCTTCCTCACTCATTCATTCACAAATATTTAAAAACATGCATAATACGCCTACTACGCTCCTATTGTAATGGCTTAGTCTAGCATTTCAAACCCTTTGAAGAGGTGGAGAGACCACAAAATTTAAAAAAGAAAGGAAATGCGTGTAATATTCCGAGTCTGTACATTTGTTCATTTTCTCAGTTATTCAGAGGTAAAAATAGCTAATGGTCTGCCGGGTTTCCTTTCCCTTTTTTTATTAAGGCCACTTCACTGCTAGTTAGTACTGTCAGTGCGCTGCAGGGGCAGAGAGCAGATGAAACTGTCAAGTTCTGGTGTCTCCTTTGGACGTGTGCACACACCTGCACACACGCCTGCGTGTGAGGACACCGTGCTAAGTCGAGGCCCCTCGATGTTATCATGATGGACAACTGAAATCGGGGTGTTCCCTCCCTACAACGGTTGCTCCTCTCCCATGCTGGAGCCCTGCCCAGCGAGCACCTCCAGGGTCATGCAGCAGACAGGGAAGGGAAGGGGAGACAGAAGGTGCCTTACAGAACGGGAGCCGCAGGCGCTGACCCGGCGAGCCCCCGCCAGGCTGCTCTCATCGAACTCAGATGCCTGCGACAAAACAGACCGTCAGGATGGCGCGCCCTTCTTTTCTCCAAGAGAACCCACAACATGCTGAAACGTAAGCTAAGGGAGATGGACACGTGCCAGGAACAGGTCCCGAATGACACTGTACAGCAGAGGCTTGAGGCCACCTTTCCCGGCCCTTTCGCTCTTTCGCAAAGAGCTCTGGAGCGCAGTGAGGTGCATGCAGAAGTCGGGCGCGATTTCAGCTGTGGACCGGCATGCAGCTCGGTTCTCCACCAGGTCATTGAAATCTGTGCAGTATCTCGACAAACATTCCATGCTTGGCAAACACTTATTAATCAGATTCACAACAAGCAGGTAACCCAGACAGCCTGCTCTATCACGGCACCCTCATGCTTGATGTTTAAGAGGTTACTCTATCAAGCAGCCCTGGAACCACACACGGCAATCAGGGTTTTCATGCTGAACATTTCCTACTTCTTTGAAAGTGGCTAAGTGGAAACTGAAACGTTTGATTAACTTGAAAATGCTACATAATCAATCCCTGTGGGAAACAGGAGCTTACAGTGCCGCAATGACGATGTCCAGCTTTGTCTGTTAAAAGGAACTTTAACTCTTCCTACCCCACCCCCAGGACATCCTGGTTTGCTCGGCCTTCTACATATTTAATTCATAAGTGTATAATCTATAAATGTAATTCGTAATCTGATAAAAACTTATGAAATCATTAGTACACAGAACAGCTAGCTACTCTGAAGATTCAGTCACGGTTTCCTGCACTATATGTATTTTTTTTTTTTTTTGAGAGGTTTTCACTGTAGGGCGCGCGCACTTGCCAGACAGAGAGAGAGAGACAGAGACAGAAAGCGAGAATCACCCCCCAGGGGGGATGGTCACGCTGCAATCCCTTCTCCTCCATTCTCCTCTCGGGATCTTGGGCACGTACGCACGTGCACCCGGCGTGAGTTCTAAGCCACCGGGTCC